GCGCGACAAGGAGAAAGGAATGTCTAACTTGAAAGTAGTTTTATTGTGCTTTGTGGACTAAATGATTTGATATACGGGATGCTTAATTCTAATTCGAACAAATAAAAAATAAACAGGGGGTGATGGTTGGACGAGTTTTCTCTTCACCATGCAGTGATGAGGCTCGGCGTACATTAGATCAGGAAGCAATGGTCACGGAAAGTTTACTAATGAGCTAAAATATATAATTTTTAATTATTGATTTTAGAGGTTACGTTGCAATTGCAGATTGACGTCAATTACTAATACAAACCAGATCCATTTCAAGAATTTGCGAAAAGGTAATGCTTTTTAATACAATAACCGATCAAGTTCCACGTTTTTTTTTTGCTCGATGAAAACAAAAATTGGGGTTTAAAAGAGCGCTGCAAGACCTGTCCCCAATGACGCGTGGAAGAGTGATGTAGTGGTTTCAATCATGTTGTGTCTATTTCGGCAGTGCCGAAGACACAAGTGACTACGTGACTGAAACGACTACGTCGCTCTTTCAATCGTCATTGTCGGCAGGGCTTGCAAGGCTCCTTTTTAAGCGAACTCTTAAATCGGGTGAAAAAAAAAAACGTGAACATTGAACGATTAATATCTTATAAACCAGTACCTTTTGCTCATTCTTTAAATTGGTCTTATTTCTAACAGTAGTTGCCGTCAAAAATGCGATTCCAACATGACCCCTAAAACGAACAACTAAAAAGTTAATGAACAGAGTTTTGTTAATTAGTAAACAAAGCATGACGATTTTTCCATCATATAATGTCCGCCAAGCATGATAAATACATGGCAAAGAGAAAACTTGCCTAAGCCTTACTCCTTATAAAAAAAATCTGCTCGATTTAACATCGAACACCTTGAATAAATGGCCTTTGTAAATGAAGATATTTCTGTGGTAAAAAAAGTTTTGAAAACTATGAGCTGTAATAATGGTTAATAAAAGATAATGATCGATGTGCTAATAATGAACACATGAAACTCGTAACGTCATGTCAAAATTCGGGAATAAAACTCATCTTCTGTTTTGATTTTTTGTTATTTATATATTTAGCAATTTTTTATATATTTTTGTTTTACTAGATATATTTAAAGCCCTTTTTGTAGCGTGTCATCATTAGGCCGATGTAATTTCTCGTTCTGTTATGGCATTGTGCATGGAATGATTGAAACTTTACGTTGCTAAAAAAAGTAACAGCTCGCCCAAGGAAACAACAACAACCAACAGTGAATTTCTGGCAGAAAAGTGACAAGAATAATGGGAGGAGTTTGTCATTATTTTTTTACTTTAGTCGGATAAAATTAAATTAAAATATATCGTATCCGTAATTACAGTTAGTACGCAGGCGAGCTGGTGGAAGTTTACCATGATGATTTTAACCCAAGACCTGGACAGAAAGAGGAAACGTTTTTACAGTGCAAGAGAAAATAACAGAGACTAACGACGTCGTCTGTCCCTGTCACATTATCTCCTCCTGTAAAAAGAAAAATTTCTCCTTATGCCCCAGTGTTAGGTTATAATCATCATATTATTCGTCACACTTCGTTTGTACGAAGGGTGTAAATAAAATTTCGAAATTTTTGATTAGTACGATAAAGAATTAGAATTGAGTCAGAGGCCCCTTATATACCAATGAGGTGCATCTTACGGCGTTGGGTAATACTACAGCTCGCTCAATATAGCCACCTGAAAATATAACGCCTTAATTGAAGAACTAAATGCACACACATATTTCATTATCGGTCAAAATGTATCTATCAAAATTAAGGTATACTCTCACTTTGGATTATTCACTGTTTGCACTCCACCCAAATCAACGAAGTGGCCGCACACTATCTTAGCGCTCTTCCGACAGGAAGCTCCTCAATTGTTATCGCTAGACTTTCCAAACACCCGGAAAACACTAAAAATCCGCCTCTTCCTGCTCTAGCTGGACACGGATTGAATGTTTTTTTTTCGAGCAAACAAGAAACAAATAAACAACGAAAGAAAGGGCAGTAGAAGGTTGCCTGCTGGGAAACGCTATCTGTCCCAGATTCGGTGCATTGCGGCACTTTCGCGTGCTTCCTCTAACGACAACGAAGGTATGTAGATGCGAAAAGAGGAAGATGCTAGGCTGCGAAGCACGGGCCAACAACAATCACCATCAACAAAACCAACATTCACTTGTGCATTCAAGAGGATCGCTAGCAATGTTTGTCTCCTGCTCTGTTCTGAGCGGTGCTCGAGCTGACAAATGTAGTGCATATTCTAATCTTTAGTGGCGGTTTGTTATCTTCGTTATTGAAGGAAAACATAGTCGTGACCGCGTCCAATCTTGGCTTGGCTCTTGACCTTACGATTTATTTACGGCCCTGTCTCTATCATAATACTCATTTTCTAGTTATGTTTTGTAGTATCGATCGAATTAAACAATACCTTCTTAACTGGTTATCTTGTTTTCAGTTTTTTTCTCTAATTTGATTGGTCATTTTCACGCGGAGTGTCAATACCATCACTTTCAGCAGGCTACAGTCATTGGTACTTCTCCTCGGCGGGGAGGATGCTCTAAATTACAGATAAAAGAGGAATATGGTAAGCTGTATTATTGTCTATTACAGCAAGCGTTGTAGCGTCAATTTCATGCAATCAATGCATAACCAGTGACTGCATTGGAACGGCAAAACAGCATTTGCGGTTTCTCGCATCTCTAGCACGGTCCTCACGCTTTCAGTTCTGTTTTCATATCATCTTAGGGATCAATGATGGAGCGAATTGAAAGGCTTGCCTAAGACAGTGCGATTGTGCTGGTTATTGTAAAGCAACAATGTAAATTTTATTATTTTTGATTTTATAGTTTTGTAGTCATGGTCTATTACGTCAAATGCCGTGCCGTCATAAAAATTCTGAAATAAGATTATGTTTTGTTAAAAGTGAGTGATATCCATTTGTACAAGAATGTTTTTGCTTTTAAATAAGATAACCGATGTTGACGTTGTGACTTACGAATAACAACTCTAATTGGTAAATACGTTTGTTTTTATTAGTTTTTCAGGAAAATTGTTACACGGGTCTTATTTATGATAGTGCTTTGTTTTGTGCTCGCAAAAAAAAAAACTTTTAAACATAATTGAGTGATAGATTGAGATTCAAGCTTGAGATTGCAATAGAAACTCTTGACTCGTAAACATAATTTTAGTAAGCAAGTCTACAGAAACAGACTTGCTCTGGAGCTCACTTATACTGTTGCGCTGGATAAATATCCCTGACGCACGGTGACTAGTGCAATGAATCCTAAAATAAAACTAAACTGCTAAAACATTTTTAGAGTGCCTGGATGGATTATGTATCTCAGAGGACAAACTCCCCCCCCCCCCCCCCCCCCCCTTTGAAAACAAATAATCTAGAACAATAGTTACTTCGTGAGACTATTTAAGAATGATCTTAAAACCAGTGTTTATTGTGAGGTCGACGTCTCAAAATAGAAGCATGTTTTAAAATCGCTCTTAACACAAAATACGTTTTGCGTCGTGAACATTGAGGTACATGTACTTTTAGGCAAGTTTATTTTGCGACAGACTTGCCCTATCTAGGTACATTAAAACGTATGTTTAAGAAGTGAAGTTTCCTTTTAATGTTTGCAGATGTGACGTACCTTTCTAAATGTCAGCTCCCACGCTAACCGAAAGAAATCGCTTTATGCTACGGAGGCATAAAACAAGTCTGTTGACGCACCAACAACGGCCTTTGATCGAAATTATGTGAGATTTCTCCATCTAATAATGTACGACCCAAATAGTGGACAAAAACATCGCCTAATTTCGGCACCGACTAGCCTTTTTTTTCACACTGCAAAAAGCTTGCACGAGCACGATTATGGGAAGTCCATAAGAATTAGTATTCCACACGACTCGCAGGGAGGCATGCTTCGAGAGCCCTTGGGCTCCAAGAACGAGATCTGCGAATTCAGCACCTGCACAACATTCTCGTCTTGTTTTATGTAAGTAAAAAAATACAGAAAAAAATGTGCCCTGCACAACGCCTGCGTATGAAGAAACCTAGCGGCCGGTGGCCCCGTTCAAACAACAGGCAACGACACTTTCATTAAGAGCCCTCGAAGGTAAACCAGGTGTGTGGGATATCACGTCGCTCGAAAAGTGTGCTGAGCTACTTTCCTCTTCGAACAGGCTCTATGGAATTACGCAACTCGTCTACTGAGTTTGACCGTGACAGAGTGCACTGATATCTCTGCTATCTATTGCACGTTCTGCGAGAACTATGCTGGGTATTCAAGCTCCGCAAAAGAAGGGTTTTGAGGGGTTTTTTTTGCTGCTCGCCTTGACGCATCTGGAATTTTATTTTTTACTTTTTTGTAGGAATGCAAAAATAGCGCGTATATTTAGGGCTAAGGGTTTTCCGTAGACGGAATGGCTGGATAGTGGGATAGCGTCGTATGGGAGTTAGCTTGTGTTCGGAGACGAGAGATTCAGATCGTGAAAATCAAATAAACAATAAGCATCGCATTGTTTTATGTGGCCGGTTTACGTACAATTGGTGCGCTTTTTACGGGTAAAACAAATATATTTTTTGTTATTTGAATTCACATGATTTATGAGCTACAAAAATAATTCCTGCATTCCAGCTGTCTAGCAAATGACAGAGAAAAAAGGTGCCATGATGTTTATCGTACTTTGTAGTTTTATTTATGAACTATAATCAAAGATCACGGCTAAATTATAAGTACATACGTGAGACTAGAAAGGTGGATACAAAAATACGAGGTTCCCCCAGATAAGAAATAAACTACCGAAAAGAGTCAACCTGACAGACTTAAAGGTCACAAAACGAAGGTTGGGCCGTTTTAAGTGTATATAATTTAGAGCGACACCTAAAAAATAAGTCGTGCACAACGACCAAACAAAAACCCAAAACAGAAATAAATGACCAACTAAAACCGAAGTTTCGCGCTCGCACGCAAAGGAAAATTATGACTTACACCTGAGCGCCCAAGCGTCCTGTCGACGAATCCCTTGGTACAGTTTCCACAGATGGGTGACGCAGTCTGAGGTAAGGTTTCCGTCGCCCAAGAACCGCGTGGCCACCGGCAGTAACCGGCTGGTGAGCTGGTTCAAGAAATCGTTCACCTCCGGTTGGTAATCCCTAGTGGTGGTCGGTTCCGTCGCTACCTCAGTCGTTGTCGGGTCCAGGCTGGCCTCCGTAGGACCAAGATCCTCCACCTCTCGCGTTCCATTCTCAAATACTGCATTTGAAGTTTCTACAGGGTTTGTTAGCGATATGGTTAGATTGCTTTTGGTCACAGGTGCAGCGGAGACAACAGGAGCTGTAGTGTTTGTTGTTATGGGCGTCGGTTTAGTAGAAGTCTTAGTAGCAGACGCCTCAGTTGACACGGCAAGAGCAGGAGACGAAGTGGCATTAGCAGGTTTAGCAGAAGGCTTACCAGTAGACCCCTTTGTTGACACTGCAGCAGCAGGAGGCGAAGTGGGATTAACAGGTTTAGCAGAAGCCTTACTTGTAGACGCCTTCGTTTGCACGGTGGGACGTGGTGTAGTTTTAGCGGTGCTACGGGACGTTGTGGCTGTGGAATTGGAAGAAGACTTTGTGCTATTACCACTCTTCGATTTCGGTTTCGTAATTAGAAATCCGCTCTTCTTAGGAATAGCCTTGGGAGCCATCTCTACTTGTACATTCGCGGTGACTATCACAATTTCTGTCGCTGCGGCGTTGGCATCTGCGGGATCGGAGCTGTTGGTTACAGATGTAGCCGTTGCTGTGGATGTCCTGGGGTCTGCGGTAGGATCCGTCTGGGAAAACACTGCATCCGCTTTCATGGTGGTAGTAGCATCCGTGGACGAAATTGGAACGTTGGTGGACTCAATTGCCACTGACGTAGTGCTGCTCGTTGGTCCTGAGTCAACATCAGAAGCAATCGTTGTTGCCGACGCGTCAGCAAGCCCCGTCTTTGTGGAATCTGTTGTTTGGGATTCGACAACTCCCGATTCCTCAGCGTTGATATCGGGGCTGGCTCGCACACCTTCCTTTGGAAGCGCATTGCCCACTTCGGAGTCAGCGATCACTTTCGCTGGTGTGACTGTCGAGACCGTACGTTGATCCGTTTCCGGTGGTTCAGACACTGTATCGCTATCATCCACATCATCCGTAGAACCATACTCATCATCCTCCTCTTCCTCAGACTCCTCGTCTTCGGGGGTCGTCCTGTTGCCACTTGCTGATACAGACGCGACTAAGTCGAGTATACTCGTCGTGCCCTCAGCGTTCGCGGCAGCAGCTTCCGTCGAATCATCGTAATCCTCAAGTTGAACACCACTCGTAACCGGCAACCGTAGCTCCGACCTCTGCACTGGCGCGCCGCCGTCATCGCCGCGGGAAGTCGAGACGTCCTTGACAGCTGTCACTTGTCGATCATCACTGGCCATAGACCTCGTAGCACTGCTCTTACCTGCGGACCTGCCGACGGGCTCGTCTCTCAGAGCCGCAGAAGAGGCGATTCTCAATCCCCAATGGGCTTCATCCGGCGTCCCGCGATCCGGCAGGCTCAGAGCGGACGAAGCGGCGGAGACGCAGAGAAGCGCCAGGAGCGAGCAGGTTGCGGCGGACGTCCATCCCATCGCGGAAGAGCGTGCGTTACCCACGGAGCCTGCTCAGTCTTTGGAATCAGCGGCGCTCTGCATCGGTTTTCGTGGCGAGCGGCTCGCTGGTAGGCAGGTCGGCGAAGCTCGCCACCCGTTCCCCCGCGGGGGGAGTCGGCCTAAATTCCGTAAGGCCGCCGTTTGCTCGCCACGCGGTTTCTCTCGCACTTGCCGCTCGATTTCGCGCCGGATGCCAGAGATTCGCGCTGCGATAAAATGGGAAGGACTTTCGCCCCGCCGGGGTCTTGCAGGTGTCGTTGAACGGGCGCTGTGGTCGGGACGGCCCGGCAAGGGCATGACGCCGCGATTTGACGCTCGGGACATCTTGAGCGGCTTCGGCGTGGACGAGTCCATGAGAGCGTGTCCCAGTCGACTCGGGGTCGACCTGGCGAGGGGAAAGTGGACGAGCGGACGCCGGCTGGTCGGTCGCCCGGTTGGCGACACGCGTGACACTGTGTTGACAGCGTTGCGAGCTTGTCGGTTAATTCTCCGCGCTCCCGGCATTCGGGTGTCTCTAGGTCGCTCGTGGTGAACTCAATGAAGCACGGCTTCCTTTTGCTTTTTTCCTTGGCCGCTGCTGGGGGTTTTGAGGATGGAAGGAATGACACAGTTTTGAGTTTTGTAGGACGGGTCGTGAAGCTAAGGGATGGGAGACAGTGCTATCAGTGGTGTCATGAAAGAGTAAAAAAAAAAAACAATAAAAATTGTAAAAATAGCATGAATGGAAACGTGCGTTTCTCTAGTGAAAAGCAGGCTGCGTCAAGGTATTTTTTTCGTATCTATGATATCCATGCGGACGATTACATTGATATGTTTGGGACTCCCAAACTTTGTTGATATGACTAGAAATGCGTAAAGGCAAAGAACGCACTAGACGGGACAAAAACAGTTCGTTCCAATCTTTCTTATCTATAGTGATACTGTGCAGTTTCATTGAAACATGTTACTATGTATAGTGCCTACTTAAATAAATTCGAAAATTTAGTAGTTAAGCCATATAGTGCTATTTTTTTCCCGATCGTCCTTCCACTTGCTCTGTTGTTCGCTGTAGACTAACAAAAGCTCAATGTTTTTTTTACTGGGTTTCAACTTGCTGTGGCAATGCACTAAAAAATACGGGAGCCCGTGCTTGGGCGGTAATAAAAGCCGCTCACTTGCACTCCTCCTTTTTCTGGAAACATAACAGAAAGTTTTTTTTTTTTCTAGTACAACCTTTATCGCGGCAAGTGAAACGAATGAAGGCTTCTTAAAACGCACAAAGAAGCCTTTGAGTGATATTGGCGTAGCTTACATGCTCAGTCTGAAGTGTTCCTTCTTTTGAATCGTCTTTCCATTTGCTCCGTTGATCGCTGTAGAATAACAAATGCTCAATGGTTCTGTACTCGGTTTAAAAGTTTTATGGAAATGCTCTGAAAGCTGCGGGAGTTCGTACTTGGGCGACGAAAATTGCCGCGTACCCGCACTTGTTATCGCTCCGGAAATGCAACAGAAAGATTTTCCCTGATATAAGCTTCATCGTCGCAAAAAAAAAAAAAAACAAGAGCAAAAAAACAAAAAAAACAAAAAACAAAGAAAAACGAACCAATACATTTTAGAATGCAGGAAGAAACCGTTGACGGATCTTGTGGTAGCCTATACATTTCTTTAAGCAAAAAATTATGCACGACAAATCATTCTAGGTTTATAGAATGTGATATGGATTATTTGAGAAAATGTATTCAGAAGGAGTTATTCCCCCCGTAGGAAGAATTTGAGCGTCATGTTTATTATGCCCAGTGTCATTGGTTTTTCAGCGATACGAAAAAAGAAAGTGATAATAGTGCTAGTGGCGCTGCGGTCTTTCGGTATTCATAATTACATTCGAGGCTAAGTGTGTTTCTCAAAACATTGTTAATACGCCCTGCTGAGTCATACTTACTAGCAAGATGTGTTCGGGTAAACATATTTGCTACTCCAACATGGACTACAAATTCAATTATGGGCGAACGAAAGTCAACAAAACGACTTAAAGTACTTTTATTCAAAGATCACGAGCAAATTATGAGCGAGAAAACATCGGTTGATAAGAAAATAAATTATAAAAGCACTTATAAAAGTCAGTCTGGCTTGCTTTAAACTTCAGCATGAAATATGATAATCTGCTGAGATCTTTAGGCGGCGTGTTAAACTTTCAGGAAAGTGAAAATACTGCATTAAAACTTTGGTTTGAGCTGTTTTTTTGATAATTATAAATTTTAAAGTGCGCAAAAGAGACGAGAACCAGTAAAAAACACGGACGACATGGACAGGCGCTGCGACTGTGCGTGTCCGTGCGTGAGGTACTGTTGTCGAAACCAACGCAAACACAAACCGCGAGGAGCGGGGAAGGGCTTCCTTTGTTTTTGATGTCTAAAAAAGTAGCACGTCGTCCTCAAAATAAACAAATAAAAAACAAAAAAAAACAAAAAAACTAGCATATAAAAAAAATCCCAAGAAAACAAGCATTCAGGAAGCCCAGAACAAAGTGAGAGTTGTACTCTGGGAAAATGCTCGGCAATAACTGCAAGGGAAGCGCGCGCACACTAGCGCTCTGCGAACACACTAAACTGTTGTCGGCGCTTCGGACGGGCCCTCCTTATTTCGTGCATCGGCGCTACTTGGGAAATAATCAGCATCTTCCAATGTGCAACACTGAACTTCCAAAATTGTATCAATGGACGAGGTGAGCGAACCGTTGTTTGTCACTTGGTCTACGGGCCCGACCGTCAGTTCACGCAATCGCCGGTGTGCCTTCATTCCCACAGGTGATTCCGTGGATGGTTCAGCCGGTGGAGACGACCTGCCGCTTGCTTCTCTCGTCGCAGATGCCGGATAATCCACGGAGGCTTGCCGACTTATTGCGAACAGATGCAGCGACAGATCGGAGTTTGTGGGGTCGGGGAAGTGCACGATGGTGGGTTCAGTGACGTAATCTTCCACCAATCCTTCCTTGTTGTGGATGTTTTCCGCTCGTTTTTGGCGGAACTTCTCATACTCCTGTGACAAGAAGTCCGACGCCAGATTGAGGAGGTTGTTGGTGGGCGCTTCGTACTGTAGATGCACCAGAAAGGAGAGGAAGAAGCTGATGGCTGCTACACCCAGCGCATCCTTGACCTGAAATAGAAACCACATGCTAGGTTAAGGTACACGCCCTATTCATATACTTATTATGTTTAGAATACGCTTTCTTTCCGGTGACGCCGCTTGATTGATGAATTCTCACTCTTGGAACCAGTGGTGACTGACAGCTTCCTTAAGTATTTTTAATTAATGTCATAGAAGACATTATGGTCTGCCTCAAGAAAAAAGACGCCACCTGTCATCGCTGCGGCGGGTACATGTATAAGGTAGCTATTTGTTAGTGATTTCTAGTTCCAATGTTTACCAGCCGGCGACTTGGCGCTTATAAGCGTTATCGCCCATGGAGTTTACTGTCGCCAACATGTCTCACGCTCAAGTTCGCTGAGAAATATCCGAGTCCATGGAATATATTTAGTAATTAAGGTCAAGGAAACACGTTTGACAACGTTAAGATTACAGATTACACACCAGCAAAAATTTGCGCTCAATAGTCACCGACAGGGTGAGAGCGGCAGGAAGGAGCTTCAGTTGTCCCGCCTTTAGAGCGACCTTTCTACGTTCGACAAAGCTTCGCCGTCTCGTGCCCCTCGAACAAGCGTCTCGCGCGTTCAAAAGACACGCACTGAAGTTCACATTTGAGCATTGGCTACTAGATTCTCGTAAACGCGGCGCATAAAATTTCAGTAATTTAATCTTATATTTCGTTATATCTCAGTTACTTGTTCTGCATTTCTCTGGGCAAAGAAGACTATATATGGCCACTATTGAAAACTCGCAATGTCTGTTGGAACTTCGAATCGCTTTTGGCAGGTGACGTTGAAACGAGATGTTATGAAGATATTGTTTTGAAACATGTTTGAAACGAGATGTTCTGCAAAGATTGTTTTAATACTTTTGAATAAAAAAGCCGCTTACAACTCTCTGTAACGCCCATTTAGAGCGCAGCTTTTGAGGAGGAGGAGGGGAAGGTACGGAGTGGGGGCTATGCCCTTCCTCCTCTCCTGCTCGCCCCCATTCAGGGGAAAATCTCCGGTAAATTTAGCGGGGAAATTTGTCCGCCACATTTTGCGAAGAAAATTTTCCGCTACATTTAGCGGGGAAAATTTTCCGCTAAAATTATCGGGAACAAATGTTTGCTAAATTTAGCGGGGACAATTTTCCGCTCGATGTAGCAGGGAAAATTTTCCGCTCGATTGAGCGGAGAGTTTTTTCCGCTAAATTTAGCGGAAAATATTTTCCGCTAAATCGAAAAATTTTCTGCTAGAATCAGTGGGAAAATTTTTCCGCTAAATTTAGCGGGGAATATTTTCCGCTAAATTTAGCGGGGAATATTTTCCGCTAAATTTAGCGGGGAAATTTATTAATCACGTACCGTGCGGTTACGCCGACGCCGACAACGCCGCTCAAGCCGGAAGCGGGCGCCTAATGTTCGCAAGTTCAGACTGGAAACGGATTCGCAAACGCGAAGCGGATCCGCGCGTTTTCAACCGCAAAGTGGCTAGGATCGAGTGGGTTGTAGCGCGTTTTGCCAACCGCTTCGGGACCGATTTCTCCCAACCGCTTTCACGAACCGCAAAGTGGCAACCAATCACAACGTGACGCTGACGTGACGTCAGTGCCTTTCGAAACAAGATGGCACCTGTCGCTGTTGAGGCGTCCAAGGCGCTGTAGTCATAGCTTTCGACAAATTAACGGAGAAACTTGATGTTCACGTCCGTCACTTGAATCTGCCGCGAAAAGAATTGACTCGGTAATTTTAATGGGCTTCGCACCGGTGATTTAGTTCGGGTAAGAGTTTGTTTATTATTCCGGGTGCCACTGCCCAAGCTTGCTGCCTAGTTAGTCTCTGCCCGTAAAACGTCAGAATCCGCCCCTGATCG